AAACTTTATTTACTGTAAAGAAAATAAGACCATAGGAAAAAATAGAAGCTAAATATAAATCTAGTTTTCAGGAAATAGTGATACTGGACTCTGGGTAATATTATTTTTTCTTTTGCTTCTACATCCCAGGACAGTACATACTTTTCTGGAATTACTAACCTTTTGAACCTATATTCTCTTCTTTTGCTTTTCTAGTCCTGTTAATAATCTTGCAATAAATTATTAAAGTTCCTCTGTTTGAAATTACCACATTGATTTGTTTTTCTGATTGGACTCTGAGCCCTTAAGATACAGAAAATTCCTTGACTGATAGTTGTATTTAATTTACCTTAAAAAATTTTCATTTTACCAGTTTAGAAATAGCTTAATTAAAACTACATTTCCAGTTTTGTTTTGTTTTGTTTTATTTTGAGATGGAGTCTCATTCTTGTCACCGGGCTGGAGTGCAGTGACGCAATTTCGGCTCACCACAACCTCCACTTCCTGGGTTCAAGCAATTCTCCTGCCTCAGCCTCCCAAGTAGCTGGGACTACAGTTGCGCACCGCCATGCCCGGCTAATTTTTGTAGTTTTAGTAAAGATGAGGTGTCATCATGTTGGCCAGGATAGTTTCGATCTCTTGACCTCATGATCTGCCCGCCTCAGCCTCCCAAAGTGCTGGAATTACAGACATGAGCCACCACGCCTGTCCTACATTTCCAGTTTTTTAACTACAAATCCTGCCTTTAAGATTTCTAACCACCTATTGGCTTTCACCAAATAGGCCTGATCCTTCTCTTCACATAAGATGAAATGTTGCTGGTGTAAAGCTTAATCCCTTTTGCAATTGCAATCTCTGTTATCTTATTTTATTTTATTTTATTTTTTTTGAGGCAAGGTCTCACTCTGTCACCCAGGCTGGAGTGCAGTGGTGCAATCACAGCTCATGGTAATCTCAAACCCCTGGGCTCGAGAAATCCTTCCAAGTAGGCTAGGACTACAGTTATGTGTCACCACAACCCGGCTTATTTTTGGTAGAGACAGGGTCTCACTATTTTGTACAGGCTGTTCTTGAACTTCTGGCCTCAAGCAATCCTCCTGCTTCAACCTCCCAAAGCACTGGGATTATAGACGTGGGCCACCACGCTTAGCTCCTCTGTTGTTTCTTTTCTACAAGTCATAGCAAATGATTTGCTGGGCACAGTTTAGGAAACCTAGTCTTCTGTTTACTAAGGTGAAATCTGCAGATCTAAATAGACCTCTTTTTCTGCACAACCTCACATCCCACATCTGGACCTCCCACATGGTCTAGATCCCTGGTCCCCAACCTTTATGGCACCAGGGACCAGATTCATGGAAGACAATTTTCCCATGGACTGTGATGGGAGGATGATTTCAGGACAATTCAGGTGCATTACATTTATCGTGTGCTTTATATTATTACATTGCAATATGTAATAATTATATTAACTCATCATGATGTAGAATCAGTGGGAGCCCTGAGCTCATTTTCCTGCAACTAGATAGTCCCATCTGGGGGTTATGGGAAAAGGTGACAGACCATTGCATTAGATTCACATAAGGAGCACACAACCTAGATCCCTCACATACATAATTCACAATAGGGTTCATGCCCTTATGTGAATCTAAGGCTGCCACTGACCAGACAGGAGACAAAGCTCAGGGAGTGGCTGTAAATATTGATGAAGCTTTGCCTGCTAACTCACTCACTTACCACTCACCTCCTCCTGTGCAGCCCAGTTCCTAACCAGAAGCAGTCTGTGGCCTGGGGTTTGGAGAATCCTGCTATAGAGTAATTTCTATCTTCTTTCAGATGCCACCTCATAGTTGAAGTAGTGGCATTACCCGTAGGTAAGACACAAAAGCAGAACAGGACTCTTGAACCTGCCTGCATCCATAAAGAGAAGAAACCTAAGATTGCTCAGGTCTCTGTTCTAGCTTCTTGAGCTATGTTAGCTGACCCAAGTCTGCTAGAAGAGCATTCTGAGGAAGATAAAGTACAAAGTTCCACTTTAGTACTCACGTTGTACCCATGTATTCCCAGGTGAACTTTTCTTCCCCTCATCTGGTTTTATACTCCATAAAATTGAAGGTTTCATTCTCTTCTGTTCTCCATTATTTATTTTTCAATTGGTTGAAGTAGAAGAAGAAGAAATAAGTGATTCAACACCCCCATACTCCAACACCATGAAAAAACTTTGTTGGTCTCAGTTACATAACCATACTAGAGACCAAATTCAGTCTTTATATTAGAGATGAGCAAACATACAGAAAGAGAATGAAAGCTATTAACATTTATTATAATTAATATAACTTCAGATAGTTCAATAGAGTGAAAATAAAAGTACTTTTTTCAGCTGTTTATATATTTTTGTACACTCTGTTCTTTTCATGTTATCATGTCTACCATATTATTTCAAGCAAATTTCACTGAACATTATTTCAAGGAACTGTTTGTGTGTTACAAGAAAGGTACAAGATAAGTAGATACAACAAGGCTGAAGAAATCACCAAAGACTTGATAGAAAAGATAAAGCCTAATCCTTAAGGATTGAGTAAGTAAGAAGTAAAAATAAGGTAAAAGCCTTCTGAGAGATGGGAATAACAGAAGCAAAGGCATGGAGGCAGAACCTAAAGAGACAAGTATGATATAAAATAGTATGGTGTAAAGAAAGATTTGTCCCCAACACCGTCTAGAACAGAACTTTTTGAGTGATATGTTCATAAATGCTTTCTGGGAAGAAATTAACATTTCTGGGAAAAAGCATAAACCATTTTGGACAAATTTTAACAAGCTTAATCAAGCTCTTCTGGGAACTTAGTTATCTACACACTCAGCTGATAGTTGCAAAAGTCTAAAGATCTTTAACAAGTTATCCTTTTCTTGCTTATCTAACCACTCTTGTTTTCCTACAATATCTCCACCAAGAAAGGAATCTTTGAATTGGCCTGGTTCATTTTCATCCCTGGCAGCAAGTCTGAAATGAAATTTCACATGTTCTCATAATAAATTTCTAAAAACCTTTTTTTAAACAGTGAAAAGACAAATATAAACATATTCATCAAATCCTAAATAAGGAATATTGGGACAATTCTTTAGTATAAGGGGATGTAAACAGAATAAAAGAATAACGTACTTAATAGGTCCAGCTTTTTTTCTTTTGCAATGTCCAAAAAATATTCTACACCCTTCTATTAGGCTCCAGACTATTATTATGTTCATCAGGACAATGGGTAGAAAAAGGTCCAGATCAGGAAAATGACAAGAAACGCTAGGAAGTTTTACATTAAAAAAAAAAAAAGAAAGAAAGAGAGAGAATTATTTAGCCAGGTGCAAAGGTGCAATGGTGTGCACGGGTAGTCCTAGCTACTCACGAGGCGGAGGTGGGAGAATTGTTTGAGGCCAGGAGTTCAAGACTGCAGTAAGCTATGATCGTACCACTGCACTCCGGCCTGGAATGTCAGAGCAAGACTCTCCCTCTAAGAATTAAAATAAATTAAAAAGAAAAAGAGGAACAGAGAGAGAATTCTAGTAAAAGAAAAATAATAGATCCAGTGAACCTAAAGAGGAGAAAAAGAGCTAAGAACCAAGTGATCTTGCTTTAGGATGTGTTTTGTTTAATAATAAATAAGACAATATTCTGATGTACAGCAGTGTCATGGGAAATATTGGGAATCACAGAGATGGGAAGAGAGCAATTTTTTTTTTTTTTTTTTTTGAGACGGAGTTTCGCTCTTGTTACCCAGGCTGGAGTGCAATGGCGCGATCTTGGCTCACTGCAACCTCCACCTCCTGGTTTCAGGCAATTCTCCTGCCTCAACCTCCTGAGTAGCTGGGATTACAGGCACGCGCCACCATGCCCAGCTAATGTTTTGTATTTTTGGTAGAGACGGGGTTTCACCATGTTGACCAGGATGGTCTCGATCTCTTGACCTCGTGATCCACCCGCCTCGGCCTCCCAAAGTGCTGGGATTACAGGCGTGAGCCACCACGCCCGGCCAAGGGAAGACAGCAATTTAAGATGTTTTGTTGAGCATTAAGAATGTATTCTTAGGCTGGGCATGGTGTATAATGCCTGTAATCCCAGCACTTTGGGAGGCCAAGGTGGGTGGATCATTTGAGGTCAGGAATTTGAGACCAGCCTGGCCAACAAGGCGAAACCCTGCATCTACTAAAAAAAAAAAAAAAAAAAAAAATTAGCCAGGCATGGTGGCATGTGTCTGTAATCCCAGCTACTCAGGAGGCTGCACCAAGAAAATTGCTTGAACCCAGGAGGCAGAGGTTGCAGTGAGCTGAGATCACACCATTGCAGTCCAGCCTGGGCAACTGAGCAACACTCTATCTCAAAAATAACAATAAATAAAATAAAACAAAAATAAACAAATAAATAAAAAAGAGTGTATTCTTAATAATAATAGTAGGCTTCCAGGCAGGTCAACCTCCTCCTCTCTTGGAGTGTACTCTTACTTCCTTAATAAAACTTTTGCTTACCTAAGTAGTTAATTGTACAAAAGGCAAAGACAAGCACATCTTAAATACATATTAAATGTCAAGAAAGGAAAAATAATTGCCCTATCATGTTAAGATGGGGGAGCAGAGAGTTGAAATAGAAACAGACATGAAGAACCAAGACTTTATGTTTCATATACTGACTCACAGAGACCTCTAGAAAATATGCATAAGTCTTAGACAACAACAATATATTCTCTACTAGGGCCAGCAGGGCATGCCTATAATCCTAGAAGGGGAGACTGAGGCAGGAAGATCATTTGAGTTTGAGAACAGCCTGGGCAACATTGCAAGACCCTGTCTCTAAACAAACAAAAAACCCAAGAAAAATATATTCTCCCCAAATAGTTTTAGGATACACAACAGGGATTACATTTTGTATAAAATAAATCTTTTGTGTATCTAATTTCTCAATATCTTTTAAGTAAAATGGTGAACAAAATTAAATTTAAAATATAAACAGTGTTACTGATTATCACTAAAATACTTACGATGGTCGATCCTCAAGAATCAGGGCAGTGGTAGAAAGTGGCTCAAATTCAAAATTCTTACGTCTTGAAGATTGAGGTGGTGGTTTACAGGTCCTTCCTGTCCGTGCTTCATATTCCTAGAATAATTTTAAACATGCCTTATGCAGAAACTGTTCCAACATAGTTTGTATTATTAAATCTGTATCAGTAAGAATATTATGCTATAGTGCTCCCCTACAATCTTGCATGTTCTTCACATGTACCCCAAAACCTAAAATGCAATAAAATAAATAAATGGGAGAATATTTTGCTATAATGAGAGATACATACAATTCATAAAATAATTTGGTAAAAATATCTAGCAGACAAAAAAAATAAAATTGTTTTTGAGGGGGAGGTGGAGGGGAGCTGGAGGCAGTGGCTCATGCCTATAATTCTAACACTTGGGAGGCCAAGGCGGCAAAATTACTTGAGCTCACAAGTTCAAGACCAGCCTGGGCAACAGAGGTGTTCCTCACCTGTATTAAAAATAAAAATAAAAAAAGTGTTTTTTTAGCTGGGCACTGTGGCTCACACCTGTAATGCTAGCACTTTAGGAGGCCAAGGTGGGTGGATCACCTGGGGTCAGGAGTTTGAGACCATCCTGGCCAATACGGTGAAACCTCATCTCTACTAAAAATACAAAAAATTAGCTGGTCATGGTGGTGGGCACCTGTAATCCCAGCTACTCAGGAGGCCGAGGCAGGAGAATCACTTGAACCTGGGAGGCGGAGGTTGCAGTAAGCCGATATTCCGCCACCGCACTCCAGCCTGGGCAACAACAGCGAAACTATGCCTCCAAAAA